TCATTTTTTGTTTCTTCTTTTATTAGTTCTACAGCTGATTCACCTCTATCTTTACTACGACTTGCAACGAATACGTGAGCATTTTTACGCGCTAATTCTCTTGCTGTTATGATTCCTATACCAGTATTTCCACCTGTCACTATCGCAACCTGAATTATGAGAAATTAAACATGTAAATTTATATTGGCTTTTGATAAAAAAAAAAAAGTTAATTAAAAACTACCTTGCCAGAAAGGTCAGGATTTTGTCAAAAGAAAATCGCATTTTTATTGATAGAAATGAACAATATTATTCAAGTATTCAAAGAACTGTTGTAAATTTTGAGCGGAGCACTCTACCTTTTTATATTATATCGCAAATAATTATACGGAATTCTTTCCCGAATCCCGCAATAAAATGCTCGTTTTTTTAAACTCATACGAAATGTTACATACAATATCTATTAAAAATATACTATATATGCATTATTAATAATCGTTGTGTAGCTTTTAATAAACTATAGCTTAAAATGTTGTTAATTATGTAATTTAGTTTGGATTTTGCCGTAACAAGTCTCAAATAACAAAATACCAAATCTAGTAATTGTCAAAAAGGATACATGATAGCTCAATCATAGATCAATCATGACAATTTGCAAGCAAATTTGACTGTAAATTGGTGTGGATGTAATTCTAGAGTGAACCGACGAACATATTGTCACGGGCTAAAAGGTAGATCGACGAATCGGCGCAGCAAACTCATGACTTCAAGCAGATCGATAACCTATGTAATTATACCACAAAAAATTTTCCAGTCACATGACTTTATCGTGGCGCAAACCAATTGAATTTCAGGATCAGGTGTAACGTAAAAATTACGCTTTTTATGAAATCGTCTTCTGCGTATTAACAAAAAAAATTCTTTGCAAATTTTTAATAATAGCAATGCTTTAACAAAGTGTCTAACCCAAACCTTAACTCTTAATTTATTACTTTAATTCTTTTGTTTTATTCGATTGTTTTGATTGTTTTGATTTTCATGTTACACCTGATCTCGAAATATAATTGGCTAGTGCCATAAAAAAGTCACATGACTGGAAAATTTTTTGTGGGTGAGCTACTAACGTCCAAATCGATCATCAGAATTCCAGATCGACTAGTGCATGAGGCTTATCGGCTAAATAACGGAAAGATAACCTATGTGAAATCCGAAGAAGAATTCCAAGAAGAGCAAATGAAGATCTAAAGAGAAGAAAACAAGAATCAAGAAATAATTAGAAATAGTTAAAATAGAAATATTGTAAAGGCAAAGCCTTCATTATTATGATCATGTTGTACTTATCTTTGTAAGCCCCTTTAGTTATAGTGATTCTCCCTTGATCTTTCGTAATGAAAGATCTGATTTATTTGATTTATCCCCAAGCCTCTTGAGATCGTTAGATTAGTGAAAGTTATAAAAACTCTGTATTTTTCCCTCTTGTAAAGAATAATCTTATCTTATGGGATTATGATATTCCTAACATATAATATTGAATAAATCACTTTGATAATATTATTTTAATACTAAACTATTGCTAAATCACCATCGTCACGCCTCTGGTGAGTTGCCTTATCACCTAAAACTATCTATTTTCGTATTTTTCATATCAAAGGATACAATTCACCCCGTAACAATATATAAATCAATTGGCGAAACGAACATCTTTATGGAAAGCTGTAAAGGATTAAATTTTAGATAAATTTACGGTAAATGTTAACTCTCGGAAAAACTTTTTTCAATTATTTCTAAATAAAGATGAACAATGAGTTACATCAACTTTCTTGATAACGAACCGGATATTTTGAAAAAAGGTTTTACCAATTTCATACCGATATAACCGTTACTATGCTAAATAACGTCATAATTCGGAAATTTGTTCGATACATTCTGCCGCGGCAGAATAACAATAACATCTAACAGATCTTTGATGACCAATATGCACACATATGCTCATCGAATATTCCATAATTCTAAACCCTAAAGATCAGATTGCTATTTTGCAAATAAAACTAATAAAACTCTTGATTTATTTCTATATAATTGTGTAACTTGAATGAACTGTGTTTATATGATTATGTAATTTTTTTTTGCAATGAGGTTACGTAATCATTTAACATCAATATTGAGTATATGACAAATAACAGGAGTGTTGCGTAGCAGCACATAGAGAGTATACAGTAAATTAGTACGATATGGAAACATAAATTAGGACGGACGTATAGAAATAATGATAGTACGGTTTGTAAAAGAAAAATTTTCAAACCTAAGTTATAGCCTTGATCCCAACCATTAAAAGGGTTATATACTTATAAATATTGAATTTTGCAAGTCTTTGTTAGACATCACTTTCAAATTTCCATCAATTAAAAATTGAAGTACGTAACATTAAAATTGTAAAATAAAGTATGTCATATTCCAGTTGGTATTGTTTCAATAATAAATTACGAATTAAAAAAAGAAAAAAAATATACAAATTATATATTTATTAATTATGCCATTTACATTAACACCACACTACTACACTATTAAAACTACTTTAATAACTTTACTAAGCAACAAAAAAAACATTCTAATAAAGAAACACTAGACTAATACATAAAAATAAAAAGGATGCTTAACAGACTATATTGGAAGTACGAAAAGCATTGTTTTTACAACAAAGAAGGGTTTTATTTTATATTACAGTGATTGCTATTATTTTTTGTATTTTAATCAATTTCTTATTAAATATTTCTTAATATTTTGAAGAGGTCTTATTAGTTGAGTTTGTGAGGTACTGTATTTTATAAAATCTTCAATAGGATAATCACAGTTATGTTTATTCAACTGAATATTCAACTCTTCGATAACTCCAATTTTACTAATTAAGGACCTGATAAAGCTTAGTTTTGAGTTTTTAAAACAGCTAAACAGTGATCATATTTTGAATAATCAATCATACTTCTTTCATTTTTTCAGCCATTCGACCATTCATATAGCTGTCAACAATTTTTTTCAAAGGTTTGTAAACAAAAAATGGGTTTACCACAAAATCTCGAAAACCATTTTCCCGAAAGAACATAATACCAACTAAATTGGCCAGAATTATAACTAATGCCAGCTAACTTTGTCGGTATTAGGTCCTTTTGGGAATCTGTCTTTCGAGATTTTATGGTAAACCTACAAAAAAAATAAATGACTAATAAAGCATTTGAAGCCATTTTGCAAAGAAAATAATAAAAACTTTTTTAAAAAATTCTTTTAAATTGAAAATTACTTTCATTCGAAGGTTCAGGATGAGTCATTTCACATGATTTAGTATTAGGGTATATTAAATTTGGCTGTTGTGGAGTAAACGATGGGTTGTAGTTTGTTAAAAACATTATCTATCGCTTTTTTCGTCTTTTAGGAAAGTACTTATTTCGAATACAAATAAGTTTCTTCAATTCACAACCAAAGTGTTCAAAAGATCCTGGTAGATCCACTTTTATCTCTGCATTATCCATTACCGTATAGCACTGACTACAGTATCCCGGGTACTTTTCAATAAACCATCGAATTTCTTGAATAGTACCCACCCGGGTACTATTTACAGAGGGGGTATACAAGTATGGAGGTATTTTGTAACAGGGATACTATAGCAGGGGGTCTTTTACATGGTTATAATAAAATTACCGTATAGGTGGCTCACAAAGGTGCCGTGATGT